ACTACTACTACCAATAATAATATCTTCCCTTGAATATGTATCGTTACAAGGGGCGTAAACTTTGATGATAGCTTCACTTTTTGTGCTTTCTGTATTCTGATTTTCGAGATCCTTTCTGATATTATTTCTTTTTCTATAACTCTTTCTGCCTTGTCAGGTTGTATTATGAATCCCACACCATGAATGTATCTCTCTCACTCTCTTTCTCTCTCTCTCTGTCTCTCTCTCTCTCTCTCTCTCTCTCTCTCTCTCTCTCTCTCTCTCTCTCTCCCTCTCTCTCTCTCTCTCTTTCTCTCTCTCTCATATCTACTCCACTTCATATTAATACGTCATTTTGGTGTATTTTCTTGGTCCCGCTTCCTTTTAAACGGTAATCAGACAGTCCAAGTATTGGTATTCTCCATCTTTTCATAAAAATAATAAGTTCTGGTTCTTTTGTCTTTCAGGCCACAGATGTTAAGAGTCCAAATCCTTTCGCATAATCATTTACCGTTTCCAAGTCGTTTTCCGTCTATACTAGTCTGTTTCTTTCTTTCGTTAATTTTTTTGTATTAGTATTAAACAATCCGCTGCCGACCTGCAAAGCCTGTCACAGTTTTACCAGAGCACCGTTAGCCTGCAGCTTTTTGGGGGTGACCGGTTCTCCTTCACGGCTAGCATGTCGCCTCAGTGGCATAAAGCCACACCGTACTTCGTTGAACCCAGCAATCCTGTACTTCGTCCAGCTTTCACCTCCCCGGAGGTTAGTTCTAAATGGGCACTAAAAGACAAAAAAATACAATTATATCAGCATGACATCAGAAAGTGCAAGAGCTCTTGAAACTTCTTACGAGAGGGCGCACGAGATATTTCTGATACGTCATTGACATCCAAAGTGTCAGATCACGCACGCTTTCACCTTGCACAGCCCAAACAACAGAGAACAAATAGAGAGGTAAACCTATCAAGTCACATGCCGACAACATCTGCGACTGGACCTAAAGGGCAAAGTACTCTTATTCCTTGTCATCCGTCAAGAAGTCTAGGATCATCTGGTGTAAATGTGTTTCCATACTACTAACACGGAAAACGGTGAACCTGCTTTCATATTCTCTTACCCATACGTACGAAACGCTTTGTTAAACAAGCTAAGAGCTGTCACTAATTTATAAGTTCACTGAAATAAGGTCAAAATGCTTTTATATTGTCTGGCCCGTATGTGTTTGGAACGCACAGTCTAATAAGCTAAGATCAGTCACTAATTCATTAGACTCCTTCAAAAGAAATCACGAGGTTTATAGATTTTTAGGAATACAACTATTCTGCTTTTGTAAGGTTATGTGGAGCACGCAAGAGTCTGTTAATTTTTAAGTATAAGGAGGTTTGCGAGATTGGGTGCACTCGTGTGTGCGTATACTTAAGTGCACGTGAGTGTGTGCATAATAGATAACGTGCGAGTGTTTAAATGTTTGTGTATGCGCGCACGCACGCTGGCGCGTGTGTGTGAGTGTGTGTGTGTGTGTGTGTGTGTGTGTGTGTGTGTGTGTGTGTGTGTGTGTGTGTGTGGAGGGGGGGGGTAGAGAGGTAGACAGAGAGAGAGACACACACACAGAGACCGAGAGAAACACAGAGAGAGAGAGAGAGAGAGAGAGAGAGAGAGAGAGAGAGAGAGAGAGAGAGAGAGAGAGGTGGAGTGAGCGCGTGTGTATGAGTGTATGTGTGTGCAGGCGTGTTTTTGTGTGTTTGTATGTATGTGTTTGTGTGTGTGTATGTGTGTATGTGTGTGTGTGTGTGTGTGTGTGTGTGTGTGTGTGTGTGTGTGTGTGTGTGTGTGTGCGCGCACGCGTGTGGGTGTGTTTGAGTGTGAATGCATACTCTTTAAAAAAAGAAACTTGACACTTGGTGAATTTTGAATATTAGGAAACGCAAAAAAAATTGTTAATATCAGGGACAGAGTTTTGTAAAGGATCAAGTGTTGTCGCCAAAAAAAAAACAATAATCACCTGCAGTGCACATCGAAATGTCCGTGTAGGCGAATTTTTACTAAATCCCTAATGTCGAGCTTGATCACTTTCTTGTGTACAATAGTGTACTGCAATTCCGCATTCTGTAACCTCTCTCACTGCCGTACAAAAAGCCACAACAATGACGGTTCCCGCTGTCCATGTAGTATAACCGTAGACAACTGGAAAATGCCAAGGTTGACTGATGCTGAACGCAATAATGAAAACGAACGATTGGAAGTAGAGGTAACTCAGCGAGCCGTGGCAAGGCACTTCGGCGTGTCTAGACAGACCATTGCTGTGTTCTGGACACGATACAACAACACTCAAGGAGCTAATGACAGGCCTAGTTCAGGTCGACCTGGGGTCACTACTGCGGCCCAGGATCGTCATATCCGTGTGCGCTACCTTCGAGATCTTACCTCAATAGATCGTCTACAGCTGCTCAAATCCTTGGCCATGGAAGAATTTCTGACCAGTCAGTCTGCAATCGTCCGAGGGAGGCAGGATTCTTTGCTCGAAGACCAGTTCGACGTTACGTTTGTCTCCATTTTGCCCAGGTATGTGGGGACTTCCTGTGTGCCAAAAACATTCCGACTCTACCATGGCCTGGCTGTTCACTGGATTGGTCTCCAATCGAACTCTTATGAGACGAGTTGAATCGACAGGTGTGACAGAGGAATCCGCCATCTCAGAGACTTCCAGAGCTGTGGCACTCCAGCATGAGTGGCAGACCATCCCGCAACATGTTATTGCAAACTTGATTGCATCCATGGGTTCCCGATGCTGAGCAGTGATCAAAGCAAATCGTGCTCATACCAGGTACTGACTTTTCGTGTACCCCATTTCGTTTACAAGCTTGTGTAGGACATTCGATTTGTTTACTACGGTTAACGTTTTGAGAGCGTGTATAGTTAACATCTGCCAGAACATTGCCTCATTTGTTCTTTTTACCATGTTTGCTTTATTTTTAAAAATCAGTTTTAAAAGTGAGGAGTGTCAGGTTTCTATTTTGAAGAGTATATGACTATGCGTGTGTTAACACATGCGTACAGATGAATATGAATAATTAATTTATGACTTCGAATGTCCCTTGACTAACCTATTAAATTCATTATTCATGCGAAGCATGTAAGCCACAATTGAGGACTGGGCAATATTGAACCTACGAATTATTATTACTTATGCGGGTCACACACAACACGGGCCGTCCTTGGGATTTGTGATCCGTAGACCATCCATGAGGCTGCATTGAGGCCGCCTTGAGTTTTGTCTTGAGGCCGGCTGAGGCGACCTGGGCCAAATGGACACAAACCGCACAGGCCAGGACAATGCAAACCTAGCGCATTTCGTCATGGCGACTAAACAAGACTAACATTTTGCTGGCAAGCCTAGACAAGCAAAAGAGGCTCTGACTTTTAAAAACAATGGCTTCTCCCTAAGTCTAAACACACACACACATCAACTGTCTTCGTGAATTGGCTAAGTATTCTTCAGACTACCTCATTTTTGTAATTGCACTGTTCTTATCTACGTTTGCGTCAAATGTTTTCAAGAAACTAAAGAGCTCCTCACATGCTTTGTCCTAGAGTTGTTTGTTACTGAACTCGTTGCAAATAATGTTCCAAGGGCCTTGATGTTTTTTGTATATTATATCAATAAAGTCCTGAAAATTGTCTCTCGAGCACGTTGCCATTTTCTTAGACTAATACACCTACTCAGCACACTGGCCTCATGGAAATTACAGGCGAGGACAGAATTCAGTCACGCCGTGTTCAGTTCTCGCACAGGCCGGGGATTTGTTTTGAATTCGGCCTGGGCTTTGTCCATGCTGGGCCTGTGTGAGGTCTGCTCAGTCCAATTGAGGCTGGACCTTGAGGACGGCCTGTGCCGTGTGTGGCTGCCATTAGGCTTTTTATCATTTCTGCTTTATGATCAGTCTGAATTTTTCGGTTCCGAGACTGGGTATCTTCAACTAAAAGGAATAACTAACAGTTGAGCAGATCCATGGAAATCTATTAAAAGCCAGAAATAGGGAGCGAGGCTGTGCTGGCTGGAGCAACTCCTAAAAATAGATACACAGTAAATGGGTCATCTATGAATACTTGTGGTCAACGGGGCTCAAGAAAGAAGTACCTCGACTTCAATAAACGTTTTTAACATTTGCCTTACAAAGTGGTGCAATCAGGCCCCTGTCTTTTTTTGGGCATATTATACAGTTACTGGTATCATCTTGAAGCTTGTTTATTTTTCTTGTTTTTTGGTGAATAAAAATACCCATTTACTTTTAATGTAAGTCGAGATATCTGCTAATTTTTATTGAAGGAGGTGGGGGTCGCCTGGTGTCAGAATATTAGTGAGAAAATGGCTGCCAAAGTTGACAGACTTTCAATAATTGAATGACCGTGGAAACTGCAAATTTACCTTTCTTTTGGTGCCTTTGATTAACGTCTTTAAAAAAAAGTAAAATCCACACCAAATGTGGCTTTAAATGTATATGTAAAGTGTTGAGCCCAAAAAAGGAAAATCTAAAAAAAATGCTCGAAGGCCAGAAAAATGCGGGTTTTTTGTTATCAATTAGTTTTTACTAGCGTCCAATCTCATCACGATGCCTCACATTGTTTAGTTAGTTCGTTTAGGTTGAGCAGAAGTGTGTCTGATAGTGTTACTTCATCCAGCAAGGTGCCTCTAAAGATAATAGACTGCCAATCGGTTCAGGAAAAAAAGGTAAAATAAAATCACATTATCATTCCATTCAAAAATAAATAGATTTGGGTAAGCTTTCTTTCTTTAAAACAAATAATGATGCCAAATTTGTCCGAGATATGCTCACACATAATATCTTACAATCAAACGCATTTCGGCTCTTCAGTGCTAAGAGAGGTTATTGCATTGATAAGAGGTTGTGTCGCTGATCGATGGCCATTCGAACAATTGGTCCTACAAACCGGTTAGTGTTTCGAAAACGATTAAATCGAAGATACTCGAACACAGAAGTCACCCGCGTACGTTGCGAGCGTGCGAAGAATAACAGAGGGAAAAGCAGCGCAAAGTGCTCGCTGGATGTGAGTGGAATTGAACCCTTGAAAATTAGAATGATCTATCGCGACTCGAAATCAAAACTAACTTTTCAGATCATTAAAGAAATTTCTCTCTCGTCTCATGATTTCATGGAAGTCAAGTCAAAAATTCTCCAAACTGGATCAAAAAAAAATATTTTTAGCTATAAATTTGTGAACGGGGAAAGTCCTTTTCTTGAAACGGATACAAGTGAAGTTAGACCTCTCGTATTCCTGTGGATACAGTTGTGAGTTATCTAAAGACTGTATCGGGACGGACCTTTTTCAAAATTTGAATCTGGAACCATGTTGTGCGTCATACTTAGTGCTTTGGTGATTCTGCTGAATGGTTTGTATACGATTACGTTCTTGTTCACTTGTATCTTTATTTATTTATTTATTGTTGTTGTTTTGTTTTAATTTTAATTTTGTTCTTGAAGCATTAATATCAAAATTGGTACGTTCAAGCTTCCAAATTTCTCTAAGAACATTACTGATAAGAGAACATGCACAGCAGTGTAAATCTATCTATCTATCTATTTATCTATCTATCTATCTATCTATCTATTTATCTATCTATGGGTGAATGGGCATTTGAATATCAAGGCTCCAAGATCTTGAATGCTTTGCCAAGTGCTTTAAGAGAGATTAAATCCTTTGATTCATTCAAATGTCAGCTGAAGTCATTTCTATTTTTAAATTAATAAGATTAATATTTGCAGTAATTTTCTTTTAGTCACAACACAACGTTTTATGTTAATATTGTATTGTATTGTAAAGCGCTCAGAGCCTGTGTACTTGAATCGGGGTTGAGCGCTATATAAATGTCATTTATTATTATTATTATTATTAAAATTTGCTGACAACTCTGCCTTTCAGAGATATTTTATATCCTCAATAATGTACAAAGAAGAAATAGAAAGGTTTATACAGTGGTGTAAAAGCAATTATCTTGAACTGAATTTCTCTTTAAAAAAATAAAAAATGGTAGATTCAAAGTCTGATCCCCTCCCATAAAGAATAAATCAACGGTGAGTAGGTTGAAATTGTGCAAGCTTGTTAGTATCTCGGATTCACTGATGGTTATAAATTAAATTGGTTTAAGCATGGCCAAAAAAAACCTGTAACAAAACAAAAGACAACAAATCAAAACTATTAAGTTATGCATTTTATGTTAAAATTTAAGTTATTTAAAATTCGAGATACCTTCTTGGAAAAATACTATATCTCCATATTACAACGTATAGATCTAGTTTCTTTTGGCATCAGTTGTTGATGTTCTCCACTAAAAACAGGCCTACCAGTGCTTCTTTCAAGGGATATGGTTTTCTCGTGGTCTTGAGGTTGCAGTGTTTGCCTCTCATTCAATGGGTCACAGGTTTGAATCCTAACAGGGACAGGAAATTTTCCTCTCTAAACATATCTCCTTTCACCTCCTTTCCTGCTCTTTAACCATGTTCTGTTGTCTGCTTTCGTCTCCACTTTCTGCCACCACCTACACACTCTTAGCCCTCTTTTCTGAGCTCCTGACTCTTAATGCATACTTTATATTGCAACTCCTAGGCTCCTTCTTACTGCTGTCTTTCAGGTACATCCATGTTCTTATGGTAGGTAAGATCTACCATCTAGCCTTCTCAGATAAGTTCGAACATTCGCAGAGTTCGTGTGTGCAAGTTGCGTATGTTAAAGATCCCTTGCGTATGCTTCGGCCGCCACTCGGGCAAAAAATTCAAAATTAGTTCCTACCAAAAACGTACAATTCCTCAGGTGTCCCGCGCGTTCATATGACCATAATATGCAGTTGCAAGCTCGTTAAAATACTTACCAAAACAAATACAACTGACGCAACGCCCCAACAGGCAGTCGGAGATCACCACCACCATCAAGTGCAAGATCTGAATCTGACATCTTCGATCATGGTGCTCTAATAAAAATTAAAGAAAACTTACATTATCTTGGTGATTCTCCGTCACCCATCTGTTCATGTTTTTCAAATAGGTTTCTCTGAATATGCCCCTACCTTCTTTACCTTCTATTTTCCCAGTGAGAGCTAGATTTTCAAAGCCTTTATTTCGATTCAAATGCCCCAGAAACTGCCTTTTTCGCCTTCTAATTGTGTGTAATCATGATAAAACTAGGCGCTCTTGAGGAATTCAAAATGTTCCCACCGTTTGGACAATTTCGAATTAAAAAATTTCGTTCTAGCTTATCTTCTTTTACACCCTTTTAAGAACATATTTCTGTCTAAATTTCAGTGAAATGCGTTATTTGACGCACAGTTTTAGGCATCGGGTTGGAAATCGTTCCCTAAAAACGAAATGCGCCTAATTCCAATGCATCGTGACCCATATTTATATAAATTTGCAGTTTCCAAGGACAGTGAAGCAGTAATTGTAGTTACCAGACTTTGGCAGCCATTTTCTCGTTAATTATTTTTACCTCTAACGCGAAGCGTCCCCCATGTCCTTCAATCTCAGATATTATTCTCGTATTGAAGATAGATGGATGTTTCATCAAAAGCAAGACAAACAAGCAAGTTATCAGAGGATATCAATTACTCAATATTCCAAAAGCTTGACGATCGCTTGATTCAACTGTGTCGTGACACTTTGTTCTTATTAGTAAGCGGTTTAGGAAGGCCTCTTTCAGTACTTCGTCATTTGATTTCTTTTTCGTTCATGAAATTTTCAAAGTCTCCCTGAGAAACCAGCTTTCTGTTGTTTTTATTCCATTTTTCACTATCTTTGAAAATTGTCCCGCAATCATAGCCGTATCAAGCAGCTCGCATTGTCAAAGTCGAGCATGTAACAGCAATCCTCGTCTTGAAGCTATTTTGTCCAAAGTGCATTCTTTAGTTAAGTGCACTTTGGACAAAATAGTTATAATCTCAAGCGACGCAACTTTCTTCCAACTTCGCTAGCTCTCTGTGGAAGCATCCAATCAGTATAAAATGTTTGTCCTTTCTTTTAAGTGGATCAACAAAATTGCATCCTAAACCATATCTTTGTGACATGATAATTGAATACGAACCATTTCGAACGTTTAAGATCGCCCCCCCCCC